AAATAATGGAATCTATAAACAAAATTTTGGTCTAGCAATGGGCTCTAGTTTACTCAATCATTAGTCAATATATTTATGGAAGATTGTGAAACAAATATTGTTTTATTATTATTATATTATTATTATTATATTATTATATTATATTATTACATTATATTATTTTAAAACCATAGTATGGTGGAGATATGTAGATGATGTATTCCCAATATGGTATCATGGATTAGAGTTGTTGGACCCATTCCTGAATGATATAAACAATAAAGAAAAGAAAATACCATTTACCATGGAAAAGAAATATAATAACACACTACATTTACTGGATGTTTTAATCTCTAAGAACCATACTGGATATGAGACTCAGGTGTATAGAAAACAAACAGATATTTAAATTTCAAATCAACAATCACAATATTATTATTGAAAAGGGAATCATTAAATCCTTATACGATAGAACCAAAATTGCTTGTTCTAAATAAGGCTTTTTCAGCAATCGACCGAATAGAACAGATCAACTTGGAACTAGATCCTACAGCATACACATGGAATAATACGAGGAAAACAACAATACCATACATAAAAAGATTATCAGAAAAACTTAAAAGGATAAGAAATAAATTCAACATTTCAACAACATTCAAAACAAACAAACATATTGAAATCTATTTTGTCTAGAACCAAACCTAACAATGAACAAGAAAGGACAAAGGTATTTATAAAATACCTTGTGAATGCGATCAGTTTTATTTAGGTGAAACATCAAGGCCATTAAATGTTAGAATATGTGAACATCAATCTTATATTAAAAACAGAGAATTTAATAGATCTTAAATAAATGGAATGGTTGAAATATAATCATAAAAGAAACGGATGGTAAAAGTCAGTAACGTATAGAGGATACATCAATAATGTGTTTTAAATAACAAAAATATAAAATCAGAAGTTGGTATTTATTAAAAGTAAACTAAATGCACGACCAAATACTTACCATGTCGGGAGAGTATTAGAAGGTTGTTTTTTTGGTTTTTCCCTCAGTATTACCTATGGAATGACTAACAGGAGAGTTATGCTGTTATCATGGCATGTGTTTGTCTTTTTAAAGACGAATTACATGCTATGATATTTTCTGAAGGATATTCTCAAGTTAAAGTTGATTTCGTGTAACCGAATGAATCTTACAAGTAAAGTCATCCCAGGAACGCAACTCAATAATATTGGCAATATCATTTTAAAGTCGTCTACTTTAAAATGTATAACTATGTCTGAATTTTCAATGTAAATAAGTGAGATAAAATTAAATTATTAAAATAATTTTTTCACCAAGTAACAAAAAAACTAGGTATAATTGACTAATGATTGGATTTTGAGAAGGATTTCGAAGTGGAAATTGAAACGTCAATAAACGTACTTTAACCTTTAATTGTGGCTTATTTCCATTAAAATAGTAATTACTTTAAAATAAAACAAGAAAATAGCTTTCGAACAATAGTAAATAATAAAAATGTTGCTAACATATTTCAAAAAATATTAATATAAAAATGTTCTAATCTAATAAATGCTTCTCTGAAATTTTAAAATAATTTTGATAAAGTATCTTAACACAGAAACAATTGAATTTGTAAATAAATTTGAATAGTGACAATTACAAATAAGCCTCAATGTCATAAATACCAACTTAAAATGAATATTTTTGATAATTATATTACCAAAAATAAAATTGTGTTTAATTATTCTTTTTTGTTTAGTAAAAAAAAAAAGAAGATTTATTCACCATTGATAGATGTCTGAAAAAATGTATCAAATACATCGAAAATTAAATCAAAATGTGATATTTTACTGGTTCGATATATAAATTACATAGAAATAATATAATTATAAATTTTGCTTAGATTTTGAATTTCTGATCTTTTGTTTAAATTATTATCACTTTTGCTAATACAAACCATTTCCAATACAGTCCTTTTGAATTTATTAGTTTCACTACATAAAATTTTAATATTATTAAAGTCCATAATATGGTCTTTTTCGATTACATGCTCTGCCAAAGCACAAGACGGTTTCTTAATTCTACAATCACTTTTGTGAGAAATAATGCGATTTGAAAGATTTCTTCTGGTCTCACCAACATAGTCAACTTCACACTGAGTACAACTTATGCTGTATACTACATTTGTTTTATCTAATTTTTCTATAGGATACTTAGTTTTGGAATATAAAGATTAAATGGTTTTGATGTTCTTTGTTGCTATTTTTATATTGTCAATAACCTTTAGTGTTTGTATTAATTTAGGTGTTAATGATGGTATACAAGGTAGTGAATGATAATAGATGTTCTCATTGTTGGATACAATCTTCTGAGATTTAGCAAAAAATAGTGTTAAGTTATTTATATTAAAAATATTTTATATTTTTAAGGTCTTTTTAATTAAAATATGTTTTAACAATTGAAGATCTTCTTGTAGATAATCTGGATAAGAAAGTTTTAAAACACGTTCTTTTAATCCTGTTATAAGGTTCATTTTTATCTTATTTGGATGATAAGAGTAATAGCTTATAAATCTGTTACTACATATGGGTTTTCTGAACCATCTGGTTTTCAACATATTGTCTGTATTTCTTACAATTCTCATGTCAAGGAATGGTAGAGAATTATCTACCTCTTTCTCAACTGTAAATTGTATATGTTGATTATGATTGTTGAAAATGTTGACTGTTTCAAGAATTTTGTGTTTAGGAAGTGCCAAAGCTAAATCATCTGCATATCTTTTAATAAGGGAAATAAAAAAAGTGCAATTGTTGATACAATCACTGGTAACATCATCCATGACATAGCTACTTAGAATGGGTGAAAGACTAGACCCCATAGGACTAGCAAAATTTTTTTTTTATAAAAGACAGCATAAAATAAATATAAAAATATTAGAATTAAAAACAAAGTTGATAAGTGTTTTAAAATGTAATATGTCAATATTAGTATGTTGCGAAATCTCATTCCAATGTTTTTCAACATTACTTATGATTCAATCTAAAGGTAAATTGGTAAATAGAGATGTTACGTCAAAACTAACTAAAACATAATTTTGTGGTAATTGGAAATTATTAATGAAAGAACTAAAATCAAATGAATCTTTAGTGTAAAAATTGTTGTTTAAATTATAAGCATTAGTTAAGATGTCAGTTAGGAACTGTGCTATTGGTCCATTAGGAGGGCATAAAGATGAAACAATTGGTCTCATAGATAAAGTTGGTTTATGTATTTTAGGTAGAGCATAAAACCGTGGTGCACTAGAATTATAAATTTTGAGTTCTTTTGCTTCTTTATTATTAATAAATTTTTTACTGTTTAATTTAGATACTAGAAAATTTGCTTTTTGTTGCAAAGTACAAACAGGACTCCTTCTAAGTGTAGTGTAATACTTAGTATCATTTAAGAGTTCTCCAGTTTTTTGTAGAGAATCCTCTTTATACATTACAATAGTTATGTTACCTTTACCGCTTTTGACAATGTAAATTTCAGGATAGTTTTTATGAAAAAGTTTAGTTTGTACATAGTATTTATTTAAAAAAAGATCTTTGACTTCTTTATGTAAAAAGTTTGTAATAACGTTTATACGTTTAGATCTAACAACATCCTTTTGACTATTATTTAGTGGTATGATTATTGATTCAATATCAAAAAGTAAATTGGGACCTCTAATATCAGATTTGGAAGGACATAAAGAAAATTTAGGTCCTAATGCTAAACATTTTTTAAATTCAAAAGGAAAACGAATAGATGTTAGATTTTTAAATCATTTTTCTTGAAATTTTATGTTATCAAAAGCTTCTATTTTTAATTAATTGAACTTATTAATTTTTATTTTTTTTTTTATTTTATAAAATTAAACTTAATTAAACGTCTTAAATTTCCACACGATTAAATTCATTAAACGTGTGGAAATTTAAGATATTATAAGCCTTGGTGCGTTACTCATATAATTTTCTTTTAAAAAAGTTAATATCTGCAAAAGTAATCTTAATCTCTAATCTTAAAAGTAAGAAATTCAAAATTTAAGCAAAATTTATAATTATATTGTTTCAATGTAATTTATATATGAAACCAGTAAAATATCACATTTTGATTTAATTTTCCATGTATTTGTTACATTTTTTCAGGCATCTATCAATGGTGAATAAATCTTCTTTGTTTTTTACTAAACACAAAAGAATTTTTAAACAAAATTTTGTTTTTGGCAATATAATTGTCAAAGTGTATTTTAAGTTGAGGCTTAATTGTAATTGTCACTATTCAAATTTATTTACAAATTCAATTGTTTTTGTGTTCAAAATTATATTAAAATTAAGATATTTTTCAAAATTATATTAAAATTTCAGATTAGAACATTTTTTTAATATTTTTTGAAATATGTTAGCAGCATTTTTATATACCAAACTAATTTTATTTGGTGAGTTAACAATTTTTTTTTCTTTCGAGTTTAACTTTGTACGATATTTTGTATTTTTTAGCAGCTCTTGAGAATAATTGTAAACACAATTGAAAGCTCGAGTAAAAAATAGTTAACAAATAGCCCCTTTTATTCCAACCCATCAAAAACAGTTTGTTGAATGAAATGTTCAATAAAAAAAGTGCAAGAGAAACTATTCAACAAATACGCATATTTATGTTTTGTGGACCTTAAAAAGGCATTTGACATGGACAAATTAAATGACGTAATCCACTTATTGTATGCAAGAAAGATGCCTTTTGGAACAATCACAAGGATCGAAAATATGTACCAGAACGACACAATAAAAGTAGTAGAAGAAGAACTTACCTCGTTCTCTAAATTTTTCAAAACTTTTTTGTTTGATTGAACGTATTTGTGTTGGCATTCAGTTTTTAAGAATACCTTAGTAAAAAAGTGAAAACTATAATAACAAATTTTCAAAAAGTCTCTAAAACTTTATATAAATAAAATTATGCCCGAGTCAAGCTCACCCACACAAAAATATGGTTTACTTACGTTAAAACAAAGAGAGTAACGGATTACGATATCGCTAAACCGAACTGCTTGCTTCACGGTCAAATAACACACAGGTTACAAATGCGAGGAAGGATTGGCACGACGAAAGTGTGGTAAGAATATAGAGGATAGGGTTAATATATACACGTACATACTGAAAGTTGTTCATTTTCCGTAACTTATTGAGTTAACCGAAGAAAAAATAGTAGTGTAGTGACACATGAATATTCGAATAATTTAGTGACTACTTTAATCGAGTAAAAGTTAATGTTGTAATACAAACTTTTTAGCCTGTTTAATAATTTAAAAGTGAGGCTTTAGTAAATTATACAGGGTATTTCACTTACACCTCATTTTAAGCGTATTTCTGAAGATGATCAGATTCAAAACCTGAAAATTTGTACGTTCGATGAATACTTCGGGGAAATAAACATAATTAAAGACATCTCAATAGGCAGGTATTTACTGACTGTTTTACAACAATATTAACAAATTAGGTAATAGATTCGACCGATACTTGATGAAAATTTATTTTTTGTTTATTTATCCGCATCAACCAATCGGGTTCTTAGCGGTAACTTTGTGATACAAATAGAGAAAATAAGATACATTTTAAAAGTCATGACTTACAACAATATGGCACAATGCACATGTATGTAAATGTAACAAAAATTAAATCACAATTTATTACAGAGTTTACAGTAATTTAAAAAGACAGAGCTTCATTGAATTTTGTAACCAGTGCTTCTTTCAGGCTGTTGGATATCTTGAATATCGCCTTGACTGAGGTGTACTCTGGACATTCTATTATGATATAGTTGACTGTGAAAGGCATTTAGCATCTTTGGCACATTGGTAGTGGTTCTTTAGAGATTATGTAGCAGTGCGTAAGTAGTGTATGTGCAAGCCGGAGTCTGCTGATAGTTACCTGGTCTTTTTGTTTTGGTGGTATAGGAGGATTTTTTAAAGATACGCCTGGTATGATGCTTTTAAAATTTGTGTTTGTTTGATCCCATTGTTCTTGCCAGATTTTGTTTACATGAGTCTTGAATAAAGTTTTATTATCTGATATTGGTATACCTATTGTAGTCGGAATATTCATATTGTTTATTGCTTCAAACGCTATTTTATCTGCTAGCTCATTACCAGTTATTCCGACATTGGATGGAACCCACATAAATGATATGGTTTTCCCAAAAAATTAAAGCTGTTGCAACGCGTCTTTAATTAGGAATAGTTTGATGTGTGTAGGATAAACATGTTTAATGGACTGTAAAGAACTTAGTGAATCTGACAATATTAGTATTTATTCTTCATTTGTGGTTTTACAAGGATTTAGTGATTTAAATATTGCTTGGAGCTCTGCGGTATAAATACTATAGCCGTCAGTTAATCTAGTGGCAGAAATTGCGTTTTCTGATACAGTAGCAGCTGCTACTCTGTTGCTTTCTATTTGTAAGTGGAATTTAAGTAAATTTGCATGATACTGAAGCCTAACCTCAGCAAAAATGTGTGAATGTCTATAATAATTAAGTAAGGAGAGGTCTATTATTGGTAAAAAATAGTTTCAGGTAGTTTCAGTTTCTCAATAAATATTGTTGGAATATCATCAGGTCCTGAAGAAGTTTTTTTAGCATTGCCTAGGCTTTCGTTTAACTCGTCTAGTGTAATTGGTATATTGAAAGGGGAATAAAATATCTTTTATTTTAATTTGTGATAATACGTTTTTTTCATTAATTACTATTTAACTGGGAATAAGCCACAATTAAAGATAAAAATACGTTTATTAACGTTTTAATTGCCACTTCGGAAATTGTTCTCAAAATACAAACAGTAAATGTTTTTTGGTACATAGTGAAAAATTCTTCTAATAATTTAATAATTTATCTGACTCATTTATATTGACAATTCAGACATACATTATGCATTTTAAAGTAGACGACTTTAAAATGATATTGCCAATATTGTTGAGTTGCGCTCCTGGGACGACTTTACCTATAAGATAGTTCATTCGACTACATGAAATCAACTTTAACATGAGAATATCCGTCAGAAAAAAATCATAGCATGTAATTCGTCTTTAAAAAGACAAACACATAACATGATGACAGTAAAATTCTCTTGTTAGTGATTCCATAGTAAATTATGAGGGGAAAACCAGGAAAAAAAACCTCATAATACTATCCCGACATGGTAAGTATTTGTTCGTGAATTTAATTTACCCTCAACAAACATCAAAATTCTGATTTTATATGTTACGTTATTTAAAAAACATAAATGTTGTATCCTCTATATGTTACTGACTTACTAATACTGCTATTTTCTTATTAATAACTTCCTCTTTCAATATTGGTAACCAGATCCTACTACATTCTGCCGAGGAATTTGCGACACAATTGGCCTCATTTAGCATAATTATAGCCGCTTCTTTGATTTTTCTTTTTTTACCATCCGTTTCATTTGAATTATTCCATTGAACCCTATGTTCATTATCCCATGCGTGTTTACATATTTGAGATCTATCAAATTCTCTATTTTTAATATAAGATTGATGTTCACTTATTCTAACATTTAATGGCCTTGATGATTCACCTAAATAAAACTGATCACATTTACAAAGTATTTTATAAATGCAATTCTTTGTCCTTGTTCATTGTTAGGTTTGGTTTTGGACAAAATAGATCTCAACGTATTTGTTGTTTTGAATGTTGTTGAAATGTTGAATTTATTTCCTATCCTTTTAAGTTTTTCTGATAATCCTTTTATGTTCGGTATTGTTATTTTCCTCATATTATTCCTTGTGTATGCTGTAGGATCTCGTTCTAAGTTGTTCTGTTCTATTGGATCGATTGTTGAAAATTTCTTATTTATAAACGATAAAGGATAATCATTTTATAATAATTCAGATGTTAACAAATGTTTCTCCTCCAAGAACGAATTTTCGTTAGAACAAGTAATTTTGGCTCTATCGTATAAGGATTAAATTATTCCCTTTTTTACATTAATATTGTGATTTGATTTGAAATTATTATATCTATTAGTGTGTGTTGGTTTTCTATACACCTGAGTCTCATATCCAGTATCGTTCTTAGAGATTAAAACATCCAGAAAAGGTAGCGTGTTATTAAATTCCTTTTCCATGGTAAATGTTATTGTCTCTTCTTTATCGTTTATATCATTTAGGAATGTGTCCAACAACTCTGATCCATGAGGCCATATTTAGAATACATCATCTACATATCTCCACCATACTGTGGGTTTGAAATTTTGTTTAGAATGGATATTTGTTTCAAAATCTTCCATAAATATATCGGCTAAGAATGGAGATAAACTACAGCCCATTGCTAGACCAAAATTTTGTTTATAGAATTCATTATTTAGTTGAAAATATGTATTATCAGTACATAATGTTAATAACTCCATTATAACCGATATGTTTAGTCTTTTTCTCGTTGATAAACTAGAACATATCTTGTTCTAGTTGATAAACTAGACAGCCAATGAATCATCACTCTCTAATTTTGTCTTGACTATACTTAAAGTCTTTAATGGCACATTCGTAAATAAACTATTTATGTCAAAACTTGCCAAAGTATTATTTGAAATAAAATGCAGTATTTGATAATTTATTTAAAAAATGTTGTGTATTTTTAAGAATGTGTCATTTTTATTTGTAAATTGTTTTAAAATATTTAATAACAATTTTGATAGTTCACTACAAGGAGAATTCATGGTACTACAAATGGGTCTAAGTGGTATATTCGTTTGATGAATTTTCGGTACTCCATAAAAATGAGGAGTCTTACTGTAATGAGGTGTAATAAATCCTCTCTGATAACTTGTTAAAACATCTTTAAACTTGAATAAAGTTCTATATATTTTGTTTTCCAAATTCTTTGTTGGATCTTTTGTTAATTTTGTATAAGGTCCGTTTATTAATAGATCTTTAATTTTATTTTCGTATTGAATTTTATCCATTATCACAGTTTCATTCCCCTTGTCTGCTGTTAGGATGATTATGGAGTCGTCATTTTTTAAAGTTCTTATAGCTTTTAGTTCCTCTTTGCTTATGTTTTGTTCAATTTTAGTAGATTTTTCCAATTCTAGTTTACATAACACTCTGTATTCTTCCTTTTCGTGGGTTGGTAAGCATTGAGATATTTTCTCCACTAAGCTTATTATGTCTAATTTTGGAACGGATGGCTAAGTAATAGCAAAGTTTAGACCCTTTGACAGTATTAAATTCTCCGTTGCATTTAAATGTCTATTTGATAGATTGACAACTGTCACTAATATATCATCATTTCTATTGAGGTTATCTAAAGAGTATATACTGTTTTGTTCTAAAAGAATATTAAATTTATTTAAATGTATATTTCTTTGTTTTCTATATGAATTTTCATATACTATATGTAAACTAAAAATAATTTGATCAAAATTTTAATCTCTAAGAACGATACTGGATATGAGACTCAGGTGTATAGAGAACCAGCACACACCAATAGATATTTAAATTTCAAATCAAATCACAACATTAATGTAAAAAATGGAATAATTAAATCCTTATACGATAGAGCCAAAATTACTTGTTCTAACGAAAATTCGTTCTTGGAGGAGAAACATTTGTTAACATCTGTTTTATTAAAAAATAATTATCCTTTATCGTTTATAAATAAGGATTTTTCAACAATCGATCGAATAGAACAGAACAACTTAGAACGAGATCCTACAGCATACACAAGGAATAATATGAGAAAAATAACAATACCGTACATAAAAGGATTATCAGAAAAACTTAAAAGGATAGGAAATAAATTCAACATTTCAACAACATTCAAAACAACAAACAAGTTGAGATCTATTTTGTCCAAAACCAAACCTAACAATGAACAAGAAAGGAAAAAGAGTTGCATTTATAAAATACCTTGTGAATGCGATCAGTTTTATTTAGGTGAATCATCAAGGCCATTAAATGTTAGAATAAGTGAACATCAATCTTACATTAAAAATAGATAATTTGATAGATCTCAAATATGTAAGCACGCATGGGATAATGAACATAGGGTTCAATGGAATAATTCAAATGTAGTCCTAAAAGAAACGGATGGTAAA